TAGCTTTTCTTTTAAACCCAAATATTCATATGTCTTGGTTTAATGCTAATAGTGAAAATTTAAATTTTACATACCTCACTCAGTTTATCACCTATTATTACAAAGCATGGTTTGGACGCCGACCCGTTTGTATTTTACTTGAACTAGAAGACTAGAAAACGGAAATATCCTTTTGATTCTGCATCATATGAGCATTTTGGAGAAGACATATTGAAATTTTGGGACTTTGCTTCTTCTTCAACAAGAGAACTAGACCCATTAGCACTGCATTTATTTAGAATTTGTGTTAATGCAGCATCGGTAGAGCGCCTATGGAGTTCAATGGGTTTTCTTCACACTAATCATCGCAATCGTCTTCCAGTAAGATTCTTTTTTTTTATTCTATTTTTTTGTTAAAAAACTTATTTTTTTTTCAACATAGAATGAAAAAGTATTGGCTATGTGCCAAATTTGTGCTTCAATCAACTTTTCTCACTGTAAACAACAAGCCAATACTAATGATGTTACATATAACCAATCCAGCGCACCACCAATTGGTGAAGCCACAGATGTACAAAGTGAATTTGAAGTTTATTTGGACGAAGAACACAATGAGTCATATGATATAGAAGCATCAAACCTTGAAAATTGGGAAACCCAATTACATGATTGGGAGCAAATGCTAATAGATGAAGAGGTTGCCAGACTATAAGGTGAAGAAGAAGAACGTGATAACTATTACGACAATATGTAAAGTGACTTGTTGAGCAATTATAGACATCCGGTGATAGATGAAAGAGCAAAATGGAATTTGGACAGTTTATTTAGTGCGCTGTTTCAAAAGCCAAATTATATGAGTAAAATGAGTAATTTGTAATTAACTTACAAAAACCTGTCCAACCTTAGTGTTTTACCTAAATTTAAAACATTATTAGACATAAAAAAAAATATAAATAAAATTATATATAAATATACCTTTCGTTCTTTCTCTATACATGGTTTTATCCCATTTTCATTGAAATATAATGCGTGATAAAGAAATAAAACATCTACAAAACTTTAACCAATTACTTTGTTATTATTACCATATCTAAATATTATTGTTTACAACAAGACAAGAATACTTAATCTTTCCCTTTACAAAACTGAATTGAGCTAATATTCGTCTTAATTTGAGATTCGTATCTCTAATAGTCGTGCTATAGAAGTATTTAAAGTAATTGTACGTAGAATTTAATAAATTAAGGCATATTTGCCAAATCAATCAATATAATAGTAATACGTAGTGCCATACCACAGTGATAACAGCGAAATTTATTCTTTATTGTAATAAATTTTTATACGGGTCTAATATAACGCTAATAATCGTAGAGATTTTATGCAATATCACGTGAAAATATGTACATTCTTATTGGCTAATGTTATTTGGTATCTACGCATTTTAATAGGACGATAATATAGGTTCCAATGGGAAAAATTCTTCCAATGGGAATTCCCATTGGAACTGCTGGACCTCTGGAAGAATTTGGACGTCCAATGGGGTTCCAGACTTCCAATGTACATCACTGGTTAAATATTTCATAGAGACATTCGTTCGGTAATATCCTCATTTTTTTTTTTAAAAAAAAAAAAAGGATTAACGTTAATTTTAAAGGTTAGGAAATTTTGATTGTACGTAATATATATATTTTAAAGTTGTGTAACGTCAGTTACGTTTCCGAATAAAAAGTATACAAAGCTTTTCTGATAATAAACGTGAAATTTACTCTAAAATAGTTGAGTCTAATATAAATAATTTGACGGTGGTTTTACAAAGTTTATAACTTATTAAACTAATATCTTAAACTAGCTAAACGTGATGCTTTATGGCTGTGTGTATAAGTTATATTTTAAAATTATTATTATAATTATTTTAAGAATAATATTCGTTGTGTAAACATACATTCACTTTTATATTTTAAACTACAGTATTAAAAAAAGATTTTTGTATAACCCATGATAAACTAAAATTAAAAATATAGTATCTGTAGCAAGTTCCTAATTTCAAAATTGTATTGTAATTGTCCGGAGTGTAGCGGAGGACTTTTTATGTTTACGTTAGGTGATACAAAAGTTACATTTTTGATGCATCAATAATTATAATATCAAAAATGTAACTTCCATACTTGGTATGCGTATAATAACGCAATGAAAATGACAACTTACGGGATCAATAGTTGCGTTTTTGATACATCGCATTGTTTTGATTTATGTTGCATCAAAAAAATGAAATTAGATTTTAGTTCTTATTGCGCATTAACACTGCATTAACCTAGTTTATTATTCTCGAAATAAATAGATACAGTATTGACTTTATTTAATATAATGTTGAGCCTGTATAGTTCACTTTTCCATAAATAATTGCTGCTTCAGCATTGTTATTTAATTTTAAGATTGCTTCTTAAAAATTTTTTTTCAGAAAAATGGAGTTGAAATAATGAATTATTTCTTAATATTCCGTTTTGTTTACAGTATATAAACTAATATTTATTTCTAAGACGGAATATAGTGTTTTAAATAAATTTCATCAGATCTTGGTATTAAAATCAAGGTGACTATCACATAAGTATTTGAAGGTTAGCTACGTCACCTTATTGTAGAGTTGTACATATACAGTTAAGACAAAGTCGAGATTATTTAAAAATTTATTAAATAGCCTATCAAAGTCAATATTTATGATATAGTTTTGTAAAGATAAAAAAGGTTGAACAGTCAAAACGTACCGAATTAAATTTATATTAAACATCCGTTCCTTTATTTTACGCCAAGATTTTCTTATTAAAACTTAGCAAACATTGAATTTATTTAAGTTCAATTAACCTAAATCAGGATCTCTTTATTTGGAACCGAAAACTTTGTATAATAAGGTTCGGAACTTTGCTTCGTTCCGCTAAGCTTCAACCACGAACGAAAACAAGTAATATATATTTCAGCATATAATGATAATACGAAATAAGATTTTATGTTGAATTGCTTTGTAATCTCGATATGCCTTATAGCATATAATGTGATAGTCCCGGACTATGGCAAATTAATTTTTGAATACTAGAGTACCCGCAGTAGCATTTTTACGAAGTGCTTTCATTAATGATTCCCACCCTCAGAACAAAGTTGATTATAGGAAATATCTAAAGAGTCTATATTATTTATTCTATTCTATATTATTTAATTCTGAATTTGTACGCTTTAATGTTTTTGATTGGACAGATTTGAAAATGTAGGAAAATTAATTACGACGCTGGTCATAATCGGAAATTAAGTTACGATAATTTATCATTATCAGTAGAGTCTTTAGAAGATGAATAATCAGTTATCATTTACGACCCGACTGATAACTAGTACTTATATCAGAGGACCGATATCATAATCGGAAAATTGATCGGCTTGTCAACGAAGTGACAAAGCAATTATTATTGCGAGATCAAGAGACTTTATTGCGGATCACATGTAAATCAGTTTCTAGCCTTTTATGGGGTTTCTTAGTATCTTGTTGGATTCAAGTAAACCTATGATTGCATATGATTATCTTAATTGTCGTCCTTAGAAGGTCAATAAACCGGTAGCATTAATGTAGTGTAAGGATCAGGCTAAATAAAGCATTACGAAGTCGATTCTCTGAAAATCACTATTTAAACTGGAAATTTTCTTTCTTGTTGTAAGATTGTTTCTAATTTAGCAATTAAGTCAGAGGAATGGTACCTTGGGGTAAGGTAATTGGGGTCGGAAATGTTAAAGGATGTTGGATTTAATGATAGCCGTTCGGACTAGGGTCCGAAAGATTAAGGCTATGAACTACGCTTTCCTCCAGCATTACCATATGTAATTTCTTCGTTTTTAGCAATAAAGTCTCTGATCGAGCAATAATAATAAATTACAGTACTATATTTATTATATAAGAAAGGTTACATTTACGTATATAGTATGATGATACAGTATCGGTATGATTGAGAATATGGTAGTTTTTGAGATCCTATTCAAAACGTGATCAGAAAAGTCATAATATCGTATCTGAATTCCAAAATTATAATGCACTCATGTTATAATTTATGATGTTTTGCCTTGCGTTGTTCGCATAATTAAACCTACGCACATAAAATAAAAATTTATAAAAATTTGATTTTTCTCAAATTGCATAAAATTACGTAGCTTAATGACAAATGAGTTATAGAATGTGAAAGCTTATTTATATAATTGTGATCGTTTATGGCTACATTTTAGTTTGCTCTACCCTTGGTTTTTGCGCCTTATACAGTATTCTTAGCTGGTATATGGATAATTTTAATAATATGCAAAAGTGAATCATATACCGTATATTACCAGAATAATAGGTTTTGCAAAAGAATTTTTACAGTAATTCATGATGAAACTCACAATAATTCAATGCAAATTAACTTAAATACATACTATATTTCACTGGATTGCCGAATTCTTTAGCAAGATCTTTTACAGCAACTCATGATGAAAATTACGATAATTCCAATGCAAACTAATTCACCACATATTATGATTACTGGAGTGCAAGTATTTTGTAACGGATTTTTTTTACAGCAACTCATGATGGATTGTCACTGGAATAGCAATTGGTTTTTACTCTAGCTCATGGTAGAAGCCACGATAATTCTGACGCAAAATAACTTGACCTTAGTTGGTACGTTTCCTCGAATGGTTCCGAAATCATGTGATAATTCGCGAGATAATTAATTTTTTGGGAATACCTTTCTTTCGTCAACTTCATCACTTTTTCCAACACCAAGCTCAGATATTCTGGTTAATGCACCTCGATGCACTTAAATATATAATTAACATTTCGAGATGATTCAGTTAATCCGTTCGGATATCCGAATTAAAAAAAATGAATATCTGAATATAGCATATTGGATAAATCGATGATGGATTTATCCGGTGTTACCATTCGTTTTGGGAGAGCATCAGATAGGATAGTGCCAAGATAGGTCAGGGTGGTAAACGAATGTATATTACGTCGGGACAGAGTGTAAATGTATAAAATCAGATAAAACACAAAATAACAAACACAAAATAACACAAAATAACACTAATCTACGAATAAACCAGAAGCATAGCATGCAATGAAATTATTATATATTCATGAGGAGTCAACCTAAGACCAAAAACCTGCCGATACAAGAAGGCAAATACATCAGGTTTATATACATATAATTAGCTATAATTTACATTACAGACAAACGCTTATCTATCATATCATCGTGCTACGAATCTTTAATTAATGTTAACACCAATTAAACCTTCCCTCACATCAAGGTCCGAATTAAGAGTTACATCCGAAATAATAATCTCGGAGATCGATATCCAGATCACCGACAAGAAGTGGAAGCTCATATTAGTGCTCATGCGTCGGACCGATTTGCCTTTAATGTACGTACACAAAT